ATTAAATACTGTACCGTTTTAAATTAATTCCAAGCGTAAGACCTAATAACTAGAGCTCCAGCCCACAAAACGTCGTCGTTTTTCTAGTAAATATACAAGCCGGATCAAGCCGTTGGCATCCCTAAAAAAAAATACAGTAAATACATAAATATATGTAGTATTCTATTCTGATCACGATATGCTTAATTAAGCTATTTGATATCGAATACGTACGTATCGGTACGTATTTACTACGTATCACAATTAGGAAGTATTGTATTAACACATAGTTTATATATTAGACTATATACTCCAAATTATTGTAAAGACAAATGTGATTTATACACTAAAGCTATTACTAATATTACTCAGAATTAAAAATATATGCTAAGTTGTATACACTGTATATAGCTATTGAAGTATGTCATACCTGTATTGACTCAACTAAAGAACTAGGTTAAGATTAGTATAATAATAAATTATCATCAAAATCGGATAACCACTTAAGAATTCTGGTAACCCGATTCTGAATCAGGACAACCTCTGAATCGAACGGATTCCAATTCGGGTACAACATCGATTAAAGACCGGTCTTTTTGACCAGTTACGTGGTCTTCGGTTTCCAGTATTTTAACCAGTTCAGACCGGTTAATAAAAACAATATATATACTTTATCAATATATATTTATTATATAGTTAAAAAAACCATTACAATATGTTATAAGGTTTAATCCGGAGTAGTAATTGTCGGTGTAGTGTGGTTTTACTCCACACTATATACTCTAGATTACACATTAACAGATTTAATAAAAAAATGGATATAAAATAAAAACTTGTACGTGGTAGTTATCAAAGCTACTAAATTAAGTATTTTTCTTTTGCAGTTTTATTGAGTACGTATATGCATGCAATTTCAAGAAAATAAATTAATAAAATAAATTGGACGTCTTTAAGCTATTCGATCCATATTTGTTATTGTTAAAAGAAGGGAAAGAAAAGCTATTATCGAATAACAGAATTAATCATTTAGTGTATAGGTTTAGAATAAGGAACATACAGTAATTAAAACTTTCGAAAAATTATATATTTAACAAGAATAAATTAACCGTTGTTAAAATTATTTAAATTATTTAATATTAAAGAGCAATATTATGAAAAAAATAAATAAAAATTTATTGAAAATCAGCTAATTTTTCCTTAAGTTGTGCGACTAATTCATTCAATTCTCCGGTGGTTTTCTTCAATTCATTTACTTTTTCATTATATTTATCATTCCAACCCACTAGCCATTGTACGGCTTTTTTGTCAGTATGATCAACTTTTGCGGCTTCTGTTACAGCAGCCTTGAAAGAATCGACTTTGTGTTGGAATGGACCATAGGAAGCTTGCACGGCTTGAGTGTATTGCTCATAGGAATCCTGGAAACGTACTCCCAAGACTCCTACTTTGGGTCCGATTTTAGGACTTTCTTTAGCTTTATCAACAGGGCTTGCATGAGCAACAGCAATGATAAGTACAAGAGCAAGGGTCAAGATTGATAAGAATTTCATTATTGCTTGAAGGTTTAAATATTACGATTCCTTTGATATTAAGTTCAACAAGATAATAATATTTAGAATGTTATAATATTTATGATGTTATTTATAATGTTATAACAAATTACTGATTCGAAGGAAGAATTTGAGACGCATTTATATATTTCGAAAGACAAATCTTTCATTTGAAAAGCACTATTAAATACAAAGGATTGCCTTTTTGAGTCTTTTATTGTAGTCAAAATTAAACAGCTAAATCAAAGATTTTTTTGTTAAAAGATTCACCTTAATTACAAAATCTTGTTACATATGATTAAAGGCATTCATTTTTCAAAATCTCGCGTTTTGATGTAAATCTTGCGTATGATCTAAAATCCTATACTTCGTGAGGTGATGGTGTAATGCGCGTATCACTATGTGTAATCAAAGAGTTGAAATGTTGTACCCTATAATGGAATCGGCCCGATTCAGAATCACGATAATTAAAAATTATTTTAAACCTTAATTCTAACGCTAAAACCAACTCTAAAATCCTAACTTGAATAGAAAAGATTCCAACCTGGGGCAAACATATGCATTGCATTTTAACATATAAAATTGATCTGAGAGTTGATGTTCAGCTAAACCGAATAAAGTTAAGACAAGAAAATTATTATGTATTCATCGTGTGATGCATCGCCACCCTTTAATTAAATTGAAGTCTTTCTTAAAAACAAAACAACAGTCGGGTTAAGGTTAGGATAGCTTAAAATTTTTAAAGAATTTTTTTTTAATTAGAGCGAAAAGGACAATTTCATAGGTAAAATTTTGTATTAGGAACTATTTTTATAGTCGCTTCGATTTTCACGTCGCGCCTGTTCCTGCACCCTAAATTACATATGTATATGCGTATATGTACAAATCTCTTAAAGAATTATTGTAGACATTGACATTTACGGTATGAATCTGCAGAATGGCCGTTAAAATTGTAGGTATAATAATTCGGATCATCCGATCGTTCAGATCATCAGATCATCTGTTAATTACTATCAACTTAGTACGTATGTACGTACGTACGTAGAATGTTGGACCTCAGCATAAAGTGCATGATAACATATGAAAATATGATCGAGTTTTTACTAAATTCAAACTTCGATATGAGACATGAGCTACTTACATATAAATACTATAAACGGAAGTTGATGTATATAGTAAAAAAGCGAGATAGTTCGGAAAATTCGAGATAATTCGAAATATTCGAGATAATTCTAAATAATCCTGAGATTACTTGACACTTTCAACAGACAAAATTTGGTTTCAAAAATCTATGATTGTTAATTTCCTAAATGATTCTCATCGTATGCTATTTTACTCACGCAATAAATTATTTGCATCTCGTCGAGGAAATATAAACAATGAAATATCATTGAGTTTTCTGCCTTCTGATAATACAGCATTAGCAAATCATACAGGGGAGATCCCAAACTCCGAGTCGGAATGCATCGGAATTCTGGTCGGCTGGGCCGAAATTGTTTACAGCTGTTTTCATAAATTCTGGAAAATCTGGCAAAAATTGACCGACCGAATATTTGCTGATTCGATAAGTTTTGATTAGGCAGTGATAAACTTTTGATTCGGATGTAATCACAACAGAATCAAAAGTTTATCAAAACTTATCGAATCGGCAAATTTGCCTAAATTTTACTAATGAAGTCATAGCTATGATTATTAACGCATATGGGCCAATATGTACCTCTATGCAGAAGAGAGAACCCCGTACCCTAAAACGTTTTGATAGTGGAACAGGTTATTTGACAGCTCATTAGACAATTAACTACAGTCGATACTGTCTAAATGCATATTGCATACTGTCTAAATGTTAATTTTCTGATATCTGATTGAATAATACTGTATAAATGCATAAAATTATTTTCTTTTTGTCTTTCCCGACCGTATGCATTTAGACTGTATATCATTTTTGAGGCGGAAGGTTTATTTTTACAGCTGTTTTCATAATTCCTGGGACACCTGTAAAAAATTAAATGATTTTCGGCAGATCCGGTTAATTGTCCGGAGTGAAGCGGAGGACTCTTAATTTCCATGCGGGTGATACAAAAGTTAATTCCGTATTTTCTGTCCGTCCATCCACGTGATCCATAGTATTAAATCTTATTTGTTTACTAATTTCAATATTTTTATTATAGTACTGACGCTCAATTGTTGTAGCTGTGCGATGAAGGTCATATTTTGCTTAAAATTTTTGTTTACTTGCAATATCACCCGTAGTGTGAATATTAACACGAAGCTGTTCACATTTATCGCACAAATCAGAAGCTTTAGACATAAATTTAATATCAGGTACGATTTTATGCCAAATTTGATGAAATGTAGAAAAAGCCATAGCTTTATAATTTTCACCTTTAATAAATTTAATTGTATTTATATATTCTTCATATATGTTATTATAAGTTGTATCCATTGGAAGCAAAATAACAGACATAGTACTTTTTTGCAAATGTCGACCTGGTGATGGATATCCATGAATATTTGTATAGTTATGAAGAAAGGTATTAAGTTCTTGTTTTGTTTGATCATCAATAATAGCACGATTAGACCTAATAGAAGCATGTCCTATATTACCATGAGTTATCTCTACCATTCCATTACTTCTAATGCATGCTTTAATTCGATCAAGCCATGAAGAAAAAATTTCAATTAATACTAAATAAGTAGATAAACATACAATATATTGTGCATTATAATGATATTGATATTTTATACGATTATTTAACTCTTGAGAGTTGGTTTGTTCAGATGGTTTACTATAAGCAAATGATGCAAGTTGCCTTTGAATCCAAGTATCCAAGTAATTATGAAACATATTACAGCATTCTTCTTGTCGTTTAAAGAATTGACAAAATCCTATCTTTTCAAAACAAGAATTATTATTTTTTTTACTTTTTCTGCAGGTACATTTATTTTTTTGCCAAAACTCCCATAATTCCTGAACACGCTAACGGGTAAGATCATTGGCCTCATCATATTCATTTAAATTTAATTCAGCGAATGAAGGAGCAAGATTATATGTTTCATCTTGCTCTTGGATTAAGTTTTTGTAAGAATTTGTATATGAATTTTCAGAATTCATCGTGTTGATAAAATAAAAAATTTTTTAGATCAATCATTACAACTTGATATAATTTATAAATTTTATTATTCGAATTGAG